CACACACACACACACACACACACACACACACACACCACAAGCTTCGGTTTCCACTCACTGCTGAACCTTTTATTCTTCATTTTTTGGTCTTTTCAGGAATGGTTGCTAAGAAGTGGGTATCCATGAGACGCCGCCGCATGTCTCCCCGCAGCTTTACGTAACACGCCCATCTGGATGTCCTAGATTGTCGTTTGAACGTACAGCGAGACACGAGGGTTTACGCAGCAGGGAACGCGACTCGGCGGTAACCTGTAACCAGACCGGAGGCGCTACACAAGGTGTTAAGCAGAGACAGCTGTCCGGGTCAGAGGCGTACGCTAGTAGCAGGTAGAACACACACAACGTGGGACGCAGTATTGCAGTTTGTTTACATAGCTTCTTTCTTCAACCACAGTTCACCCAATCACCTCAGCAGGCTGCATAACGGAGTTCCCACAGGGATTAATATAGAGTCAATTTGTGTACAAAATACTTTCCGTAAATCTCTTCAAGTGGTGTCGAATGAGGCGAAGCTAGAGCAGCGTTCCGGGTGTGGCTGAATTCATCAGCTGTACACGTTTTACGTTTCGTTTACTCATCATAGAGAGCAATTAGCCAGATATACAAGGATGACGCCTAGATCAGCTAACCTTGATGTCTTTGTGATGTCAAAGTTATTTCAAGCCTCAAAATGTTGAATTTATCCACGTTTGGAAATGGATGCATGAACATGGTGGTCTTTCTTATACAGGCAGGTCAGTGAGTGCAGATACGAAGCAGAGAACTTAACCTAATGACCACCTGAGAGAAGCGCGTGAACAAGCCTTCATCACACCTTAACCGTGTTCCAGAAGGTGAAACGCGGAGCCCTTTAAAACTGGCGATGGATCATAATAAGATTGACATTAAAAATATTTCATTAGCTCTGTGTTTGAGGTTGTCGACATCTTCAGTAACTCTACGGTACCTGAGGACAACAAACGTCATAAAAAGACCTGTGTGTTTCTGCTGGAGCAGGAGGACACGCGCGTCATTCCCGTCTCGAGCCACGTCTCGCATGGCCCACCTCACTTGGTGCTAACACAAGGCATTCTGGGAAAACTAGTGCACTGTCGAGTTCCATTCCAGGAACCTGAACGATTATTAGTGATTCCATCACTCCCGTGTCTTTTACAAGAGTTCACTTCGGAGGTCCTTTTGGTCAAACACGATGTGACAAGCTAGGTAGACGGCGACGGCTCCGAAGATGGCAGAGCAGGCGATGTAGGCAGTAACAGACTGTGCAAACTGAACAATCATTCCCATGAAGAGGGAGGGAAAAACCTGAGAGAGGAGGAAGGCGCTATCCAAGATGGCAAAGTCCAAGCCCACACCGCGCGTCTCGTATCCCGACTCGGCCTCCTCCTGCTCGCTGCCGCTGGGACAAGAGGACGAGCCGTTCGGGCTCTGTGGGATGGGAACGCTTTCATAACTGGCCTGGCTGAGGAAGGGATGCACGTAAGGAGCTGCGTTGTGGTTGAGGAGACCCTCCTCCTCCTGCACAAGAGTCAAATAGGAGCAGTCCCGAGCGGCTGCTATGCCATTTTTATGCAGACTTTTGGATTTCCTTTTTGGCATGTACACCTGGAATGAGACGTAAAACAATGGCTTACATTCATTTGGTGGACACCTTGTTGAATGAAGGTCTTCGTTTTTACCTCTTTTTCCTGGTGGTAGTGGCAGGTGAGGATATATGGCAGAGTCTGCAGCGTTGCATAAGCATAACCAGTCAGAGCTGCCATCGCGGTGACCAGGACAACGCTTTTGGACAGACAGATGACCAAAGCGGAGATGGTGAAGCTCACCATGCTGCTCAGATAAACCCTTCGTGATCCAAAACGGCGAACCAAGCGACTCATCACCAGAGAGAAGAAGGTTGAGGTAGCGCACTGGAGGAACAGGCCCAGACTGCCCATTCGGATTCCTGGAAGAAGAACACGATTGTTACGACACCATTTACTGACCTCCACTCCCAAAGCTAAAGCTAAAGCTACGTGGACGAGCCAGAGAGCCTTTTGTTTACTCAGCTCAGAAACGTGTCCGGTTTGGTGACTCGTAAAGAGACCCGGGTTTAGAATGACTGACTTGGGCACTAACACACTCCATTAACATTAGATAAATCCTCGACAGGACGGAGAACCAAGCACAGACCGGTTCTTGTTTACTGATGTAATCGGCCCGAGTCTGTCCCGGTTAGCGACCCAGACAAGCATCCGAACACGTCCGTCCAAGCGACTACGGAGGAATGTGAAGTCCTCACGACAGAAGAGCAGCGCATTCCTGAGCTAAATTAAATTACATGTTAAGTTTGTTACCGATGCATCCTGTCGAGAGTTTTTAGTTCCTAAAAGCACAACGCAACGACCAGGAGGAGGAGGAATTCCATCTTTGAGCTGCTGTGAGTTCCCCAGAGATCGCTCTGATCTGACCTCGCTCTCTGTGAACAGTTTGGGTCAGGAGTTCAGCAGCAGAGCAGACCGACTTATCTGGGAAGAATGAGAGGATCGTATTACTCCTAGAAAGCAAAGCTGCAGAGCCCGCTTCGTGAACACCACAAACACTAATCAGAACTCAAATCTGAGCCCAAAGAAACGGGTCTGAACCACGACGCTAACCCTAACCGCTGTCGAGGTTACCAGGCTCGGTTTGGGAGGGGGCCGTGAGGTCATAAACAGAACAGACTACCCTCATGGAGATGAGCATCTGCAGGGTTTAAGAACATCCGCCGTGTTTTCAGATTAAAACAAACAAAACTCCAAATGACCTCAAAACTGTGTTCTGGCTGTCTACCGGACTTGAACCGACACGCTCTTTGTGAGCTGATTCACAGCCATTGATTCGCTGTGAGTGCGACATTCCTGAGGGTCTGGCAAGGAAAAGCAGCAGATAGGTGGACAAACAGAAAGAGGAAGAATTGGGGGGAGGGGGGGGCGGGCAATGAAGGAAGGATAAAAGGTTAAAGAGTCAGGAGAGCAGGACCCAGACCGTCTTAAGTATGTTCAGCAGTTCAGTGTTTGAGACCAGAAGCTAAAGGTCTACAGCGAAGGTGAGACATGCGAAAGCCCCAAAATTAATAATAAATGTTTCCAACTAGTTCTCGAATCTCATTTTACCAATGCAGTCGTAAAGAGTGCCAACTATTCACCTTAAACATGGTAAGAAATTAAATATCCCCGCCCCCCTTTGATTTTTACCAAGAGTTGAATTTTCTTTTCACTGCTTAGAGAAACACATTAAAGAGGTCCTTCATTCATATTTTAAATACATCTGCAGTTGTCTAGTTGGAATGATTGCCTTGAAAGTCGTACTCAGGTGAAAAAAGCTCAGGTGAGCTTGTTTCAGCACGGAGAAATCAGCTGGAGGAGGAAGTAGCTTCAGACGGCAGGGTTTGGGGTCTCACTTCCTGATATTTGGACATCTCGCCTCTGATTGGATAAGAGCAGCACAACTCTACCGCTGACTTGCAGTGTTTTATCTTGACAAATAACACAGACCTGAAGGAGTTCTGCCGTGTGGCGGAGCTGCTAATGCTAACGGTTAGCATATACTAGCCAGGACGTTCTCTGCCGTTTCCTGGACCCTAGAACGACGACAGCCTTCTCAGTCGCGATCCAGTACAACCAAAGGACAGCTCGTCGTAGAGCGGTCAGGCTTTTCTACAAATGTCACCATCTATTTTCTATCAGAGGTTAAAGCAGGAGATAGATGTAGGAGACTATTTCCATGTTCAGCCTGCATGAAAAAGAGTAAAAAGGGGTTTTTCAGTGACGGACCTCTTTAAAGCAACGTGATCTCCTACCTGCGACGTGCACACCTCCATATAATTAAACCCTCAGGATGTCGCAGCGCTGTAGAATACACTTTATAAGTGTTTTAAGACCAGAGACGGGGTAAGAACAGATATTACAGAGAAAATCTGACCTTCATCATATCTTTGCCTAGACATGCTTCCAGGTAACGCACTGGGAACGCCCTCATACAGGCCTTCTCCCACAAAGTCTGTGTAGAAAAGCATAAAAGACATGACAGCCACCCAGCTGCAGAGCTGGGCCATGCACAGCAGCTTCACCACCCGCGGGACGTGACAGTAGCTCCTGAAGATAGCTGGGGTCATGGACCAGCATGTTCTCAGCAGACAGAGCAGGGGTCTGGCCTTGAGAAGTCTCAGCTTGCACTTGAGCAGGTAGCAGCACGAGCGAGGAACGCCACGACAGCCTGCCTCCATCGAGCCGGCCCCCGACTCCTTTAAAGATCCAGTTCCACTGACGCTGCTGCTGGCACACGACACCTCCTCAGACATCTTCATGGTGATGAACACACTGGAGACGAAGATGAAGATGAGGATGGAAAAAAGGCACTCGGCTTGGCCTCCTAGATAAGCAGAGAGCAGGCCATGACTCCAGTCCAGCGCTGGTAGCAAATATCCCACACAGCCTCCTAAGCTGACCATGAAGGAGAACATGGCAAAGGCTTGGCCACACTCCTCTTCTTCCCGGTAAAGGTCCGACAAAAGAGCCTCCAGCGGCGTGAAGCAGACTTGTCCGCAAAAGTCCAGAAGTCCCACGCCAAAGATAAGGAAGCCCACCTAGAGGAAATGTTCAGTTACAGTTAGACATACGGCAACATCTCTAGATCCACATTAGCTAGACTCGTCTGTCGTGTCTTCTTCTGATTCGTGTCCTGGAGGGTTTTTAGAACAAATAAACCGCTACGTAGACTTTGGTCTAAGATAACTGATTTCCTAAGCTAAGCTAAGCTAATTTGGGTAAAGGAACAAACACGTTTTCCTACCTGGAGGGTGTGTCCACGCCAGGCGAGACGTGCTGCCAGAACATCCGCGTGCGGGATGATGAAGAGCGCCAGAAGAACTCCCATGGACAGCAGCCAGATGAAGGGCCGTCTCCTGCCATAACTGCTGTTGCAGTGGTCACTGGCCGAGCCAATCAGAGGGATGAAAAGGAGGCCAAGAACTGGACCGATAC